GTCCGCACCGCGCGCACTGGCGCCCCCGCCGCGGCCCGGGGACCCTTGCGGGCCACGCCCCCACCGGCTACGCGCCCGTCCTTGAAGCCAGAGACCCCCGACCGAAAAGGGCGAGGTGTCCCCGCGCCCCTGCGAGCGTGCGTGGGCCGCCCCCACGTGGGTCACTGCCCTGAGCAGGAGGGGGTGGGCATCCGGGTGACCCAGGGTCTCCATCGGGCTTGGGGACCCCCCTCTCGAGCCCCCAATCAGTGAAAAGACAATCCTGCAAGACAAACCCGCGGGTGTGCCTCCACCGGCCCGCCCGCCCGCCGCGGCTCCTCGGGGCTCTAGGGCGAGGTCGGCGTGTAGAGGCGGCGTCACCGTGGTTACAAATAAACCCCACTCCCCGCGTAAACAAGCCGCAGAGACGAGGCTCTGCCACCCGGAGCCCAGGTCCCGCAGCAAGACTGCGTTTCACTGCTAGCCGAGCGCTCAGAGGTTCGAGCCCACCGGCTGGAGGAAAGAGGCCGGCTGCTCCCGCACACAACCCGCAGCGGTGGAGTCGGCAGTGACAGCTGACCCTCCAAAGCTTTCGGCCGTGGAAACCCCACGGGGCCGTTGTCAGTGGGAATCGAGTGGACAGTGGCAGGTTGGGCTACTGCTTAGGAACAGCTCGGGCCAGAGCGGCACTGTGTCCCCCACCCCCACCCCCACCCCGCTGTGACACACACCCCTCCTTGTTCGGCTCCACTTCACGGCAGGCCAGGCCTGGCCGAGCTCTGCAGACCCTGGGCGGTGATACTGTCCTCGTCCTTAGTGGGGGCGGGCTGGCCAAGGCCCCCAACGAGGACGCACAGCCTTCACTCAAACTGGGGTCTGGCCTGATCTCAAGCATCCCCAAGGGAGGTGATTTTAGGAGCCCCAGTGCCCAACAGTTCAGCTAAGTGAAAGGCTGGTGCTAGGAACCCAGCCAGAGGCTCTGCAGGAGAAAGGAAACCCCACAGCCTCGGGTGGGTGTCCACTGAGCCCACAGACGCCGAAGGGCTCTGAGACCATGCTCTCTAAGGAAACCGACTACCACAGCTGCCTCCTCTGGAGTGAATGGGGGCTGAACTACAGACCTTTCAGTTAGGATCTCAGCGCTTGACCCACTCCACCACCAAGGCTGCTTTCTACAAAGCCTCCAGTCCCCTAGAAATGTCCATGGGTCATAGGGTCGCAATGCAAGGCACACGGGGTCCCTAAAACTGTGTAGCCAGTTTCGCCTGCCCAGAAAGGCTGCTGAGAAAGGCCTGGCTTGTTATTCACAAAGCAAGAAAATGGAAACGGCCCAAACACATGGACAGAGATACTGGTACATTCACAGGGTGGAATACTAAGAAATGACGATTTCCTAAAGTACTACAGAACATGGGAGAGTCTAGGAAGCCTTAAGCTGAGTGCAGTAACTCAGCCTCATAAGGAGATATAAGGTGCAGAAGACCAGTACTGTAAAAATAGGATAACTGAGCAAAATGCATAAAGGTTCAAAGGGGGAAGCAGAAAGGGAGAAGGGGATGTGAAAAGGGCCAGAGGAAAACCACTGGGACAGCAGAGGTTTGTGGGCAGATGGGGGTGAAGGAGAAGGAAAGATACAATGGGTACTTGAAAGACAGGGTGGTAATTAAAACGCAATGCAAATGAAAGATTGTAGAAAACACAATGTATGAAACACAATGTATACGAGTGACTGCATGCAACCAATAAAAATATGAGGGGGGAAAAGGCCTGGCTTACTGCTTCTGAGGAGATTCCGGCCATAGCTCAACCTGGAACACACGGAACCAAGAATCACAATCAACTAGACGCAGATGCTTTTTGCTTCTTAGATTATCAATATAGATTATCCATAAAACTTAGAAACTATCTAGACCTCATTTACAGCCTACTTGTTTAAAACTCCTTCCATCTGTCCCCTTCCGCACATCTGCTGGGGCTTCTGGGGCAGTTACTGTCTCTCATCTTTGCTGGGTGACTTGCATTCGGCTTTGGGACCCTAGGCGTCAGTCCACTTGCCCATCTCTTGAGCCCAAGATGAGCTCTTTGGAGCCGTTCTCATTGGTCTCGTCTCCTGTCCAGGGAGTGGCCCCAGCAGGCCCAGGAGTGCTGAGATGCAGGAAGAGGGCCTGACAGGCTTCGTGAGGGAGGCTGGTCTAGAACAGAGGGCTGGTCCTTAGAGAAGGCCACTGTGGTAGAGAAACAAACTCACTGCCGCTGAGCTGGAACCAACCCACAGCTCAGCCTCTAGCAGGTTTTCAGAGACTTTAAAGCGCACAAGAGGAGACTGTCCATCTTTCTGCCTCGGAGCAGCTGGTGGATTTGAACCACCTGCTTTGGGGTTGGCAGTGAAACTCCTTACTCCATGCTGTGTTAGGTATCATGGGATCAATTACAACTCACAGTGACCCTGTGAACAGCACGTCTGAAATCGTCCTATCCTGAGCCCTCCTCACCATCTCTGCATGCTGTTTTGGAGGATTTTTTAAAAATTATTATTATTAATTTCAATGAAAATATAGAAAGACTTTGGATTTCCATTCATTCACTGCTGCACTTTCTCCCCCCTAGTACACCACCCCCTTGGAAAAGTAAAATTCTTTGTTTTACAAACCCTCCCCCAGGTCCACTCCACTATACAGCCTTCGCTCTGGACTCCCGTGATGACTCATCTGTTTCAATGCAGTATACATTATTGAACCCATCTTTCTCAGTCTCCCCCCAACCCTGACGTCGGTCCTGTTTTACAACAGTGGCACCATGCAGTATTTGTCCTTTTGTGACTGGACATGCTCACTGTTAATCACTGTGTCACTCTAAGTTGAGGGTCTTCCTCTCTCTGACTCTCCACCTTTGTCAGCATGATGTCTTTTTCCAAGGATGGTTCCCCCGAAGCATGTGACACAAAGTTTCATCATCCTTGCTCCCAAGGAGCCCGCTGGCTGCACTTCCTCCTAGACAGACTCTTGTTCATTTTGCTAAGTCACCAGGTCTCCCTAGTAAGGGTCATCAAAAAAGAGGAAGGCCCCGGGTGAGATGGAGTGGCACAGTGGCTGCAGCAGTGGCCCAAGCTGAGCCGCAACTTGACGGCATTAACAGCAGCATGGGGAAGAGGCCAGACTTTCTGGGGGAGAGTACAACACACGTGCTCGGGTGGGGCCCCCACTCCCCACCCTGCAAACTAACAAGAGCTTCAGGCATGCCAGACAGCACCAAGGCCAGCAGACACCCCTGGGATTTCAGGGCGGCTCCTCCCCTCCACGGGGGGCCTGAAGGCCTTGGTGGAGTCACCCTGCTAACCCAAACACAGCATTTGTCTGATGGTGCGAACCCACCAGCTCCCCGCTGTGCAATCTACAGCCTTCGGGACCACTGGAGGGTCAGCTATGAGTCAATTCTGACTTATCAGTGAGCTAAGTTTCCCTTCCTCAAAGAGCCCTGGTGGAGCCATGGCTAAAACGAAACAGCATCCAAATGGGTGGTTCAAACCTACCAGCTTCTCTGTTTCCAGAGTCACAGCCTCGGACACCCGATGTTTGCTTAGATTTGTGAGTTCCCGTCTCACCTGTCTACATGTGCTCGGCAAGCCCCACAAAACACGAGGGTACATGGGTACAGAGGAAGGAATGTGGGGGCATGGGAGGGAGGAAGTAGGGAGGCAGGTAGCTGCCACTGGCTCTGAGTCCCAGAACAACTTGCCCCCCCTCCATGTCCCCTCTCACATCACTCCACGTTCAGGTCCATCCTGTGACCACTGCACCATGCCCTCTCCCTCCCCAAACATGATGTCCTCCTCCAGCAACTGATCCCTCCTGGTGACGTCTCCAAAGCAAGAGAGCAGGTCCATGTCCCTTGTGGTCCAAGAGGATTTCATTGGCTAATTTTTGAAGCAGATCACCAGGCCTTTCTACCTCATCTGTTAGTCTAGAAGCTCTGCGGAAGCCTGTCGTCCCTAGTGACCGTGCTGCTAGTTCAAGTACCAGCATCAGAGTGTCCAGCACCACGGCAACATGCCGCCACCACAGGGCCGAACAAACAGGTTGGTAGGTGCCACTGAGCTTGTTCCACATCCCTCACTGCCTGTCATGCCATTCCCCTGCTGGGCCACCGTCACAGCCGCCCTGGCCTCACATCCCCATGTGCCGGGCCACCGTCACAGCTGTGGTGGCAGCCCACCTCACTGGGGAGTCTCCTCCAACCCTCTACTTGAGCAAGCATGCTGTCCTCTATGGTGACAAGTGTGACGGTTTTCCCATCACCACCCTGAGGAATGCTGCTCACAATACCAGGGGCTCCCTGAGGCCCTTCACTCCGCATATGCCCATGGGCGTAAGGGAACCCCATCTCCCTGTGGACGCACACTGCAACTTTCTGAATAATCTTCAGTGAAATGCTACTGCAAGTTCTGTCGTTGGGTAATTTTCACAGTTTTTCTCACTGTTCTTTGGAATGGGCACAAATACGGGTCTCATCCTGTGCTTGGCCGGGCAACTGCCTCCCACATTTCTTGGCATAGACCAGGGGGACCCCTGGCACTGCCTCCCTCAGTCGACTTGGTGGGTGGGCGTCCCTTGGTCCCCGGGCAGCTTCAGTGACTTCAGTAGCACCAATTCTTGACCAGCTGCCCCTCCTGGAGTGGCGAGTGCTGCCTGATTCTGGGTGGTGACTCTTTCCTCCCCTCTTCTTCTCAGGCTCCCTGCATTGTTTGGTCTTTTGCACAGAGAATCTCATCACAGCAGCTTGAGACTTGCAGACAGACACAGTGAGGAAGGAGAGGTGAGGAAGCCTGGAGCCCTCTGTGACCCGGTGACCCACTGAGAGATAAGGAGCACGCCAATACTCAGGTTTCCAGCTCAGGGGACCTCACGGCAACAATACCTGGAACTTGGAGAGGTCGGGGGCCTGAGAGGAGGATGACAGGCAGGTCTGCACTTGCTGGCCTGCCCCGGTGAAAGGTGAGGGGACGTGTGTGAACATGTTTCATGAAGGGAGACCCTGACGGCTGTCTGGTGCCTCTGTAACAGAAATGCTAGGTCTTCTATCACAGTCCTCAGGCCTGGGTGCTGGCTTTGGGGGTCAGTCCTTGGGGGGAAGACAAGACAGCTGCTTCTTTCAGGAAGCCCCACGGGAAGTCCTCCTGCAGGGCCACTGTGAGTCAGAATCAACTCAATGTCGGGGGGGCAGTGTCTGGTGCCCAAGTTGCCTGGAGATCCAGCAGCCGTGACCTGGAAGGGACCTTGGCAACCATCGGTGCTCTGACTTGTAGAAAGGGAGGTTGAGCAGGAGGGTCAGGGTCGCTCTGTGGCTGCTGAGGGCCAGCTCCTGTTAGTTTGATTCTGAAAGTGGGGACAATGGACAGTGTGTTGTAGCCACAGGAGGAATCCAGAGAGGGGGACACTGTGGGCATCTACAGACTTGCTTGATAGAGGGTCACCACAAATGGACAATCTATAAAAGCACATCTTCAAAGCACAAAAGCACAAAGTCAGCTGTATGTTGTGTGAGAAACAAGAAGCATTAGCCAAGATGATGGGAGGGGGGCCAGGGGGGCTGGAGAGGAGAGGAGAGGAGAGGAGAATGGGGGCACAGACAGACCAGAGAACCAGGACTGCTGGGCAGACCTGAGGAAATGCAGGACATAATCATAATCCAATTCTAACTTCAGCTCCACCACCTGCCAGCTTGTCCAGTAGTGGCATGCATGTTGCTATGATGTGGAAGCTGTGTCACCAATATTTCAAACAGCAGCAGGGTTAACCATGGTGGATGGTTTCAGCACAGCTTCTAGGCTAAGACTAGGAAGAAAGGGCTGGTAATCTACTTCTGAAAATTAGCTTGAGGAAGTGGCCTCGGATTCTTCAGTAAGGCTCTGGGACTTCCCTATGACTCTCAGCCAGGCCAGGGGTCCTCTGCCTCCAGGTCAACCAGATTCTAATGATCATGCCACAAAGCCTCCTTAATAAGGTAATAGCATAAAACCAGCATTTCCTGGTTTAAAAGAAATATAGATTAATGGGGCCTTCTAAGAATCAAATCCCTGTACACAGCAAAAAACTTCTCCAACAGGGTGAAAAGGAAACTCACAGACTGGGAAAAAATATATGGCAATGACATATCTAGTTGTTGACACATAAATCTGAATGATAGTGGTATTAACAGATCTTCCTTGTATGCATATGGATATTACACGGTCACTCACTATATTGTATTTCAAGATGGATCTAGAAATGGCCTTCTTAACTATGAAAGTGACCCTGTTTTTTCTCACCTTTTCATCTCTAACATAGGAGATTGTCTGATCATCTGATTCATAATGGCCCATGCCAATCTATCTCATTTTAATACCTACAATGTCAATATTTATGCATTCCATTTCTTAACAATTTCTAGGTCTCCTACATTCATGCTTCTCACATTCCACGTTCCAATCATTAGTTTCTTCTTACAAATATTCCTCCTCCTTTGTGTTTCCAAACTTGAGGGCTCAGCCTCAGGTGCCCTATCAGTTTATCCACCCTAAGTGTGCTCTGCTGTGCAAAGGGTTTTCAAAAGGATGTTATATTTCTGAAGTGGATGGCCAATCCTTCTTCTTAGTCTGTCTTAATTTGGATGCTTGGGTTTAGAACTTGGTTTTACAGAAGGTCAAGAACTATAGTCTTGAATATGGATTGACGGTCAACATCAAGAAGACAAAGATTCTCACCACTGGGGCCAACTGGCAGCACCATGATGGATGGAGAAGAGACTGAGGTTGTTAACAATTATAGCTTGTCACCACAACAAGATAAAGATAAACAACCCAACTGCAAAATGACCACAGGATATGAACAGACACTTCACCAAAGAAAACATTCATATGGCAAACAAACACATGAAGAAATGTTCAAAATCCCTAACTATCAGAGGGATGTAAATCAAAACAACTATGAGATATCATTCTCACTCCAGCAACAATAGCAAAGTTTAACAAAGCAGCAAACAACAAATGCTGGCGAGGATGTGGAAAAATTGGAACCCTTATTCACTGCTGGTGGGAGTGTAAAATGGTGCAACCACTATGGAAGGCAGTCTGGTGATTTCTCAAAAAGTTGGAAATATAAATGCCATTTGATCCAGCAATTCCACTACTGGGAATATACCCTAAAGAAACCAGAGCTGCCACCCAAACAAAGGTATGCACTCCCATGTTTATTGCTGCATTATTTACAATAAATAGCAAAGGGGTGGAAGCAACCCAAGTGCCCATCAATGAATGAATGGATAGAAAAACTATGGTATATTCACAGAAGAGAATACTATGCAGCTCTGAAAAACAATGAACTCGTAAAATATTACACAACCTGGTGACCCTGGAGGACATGACGTTGAGTGAAATATCTGTCACAACAGGACAAATACCACATAACACCACTTGTTATAAAGCAGGACTGACATGGGGTGTGTTGGGGGAAATTAGGAAAAGAGTGAATAAATGATGAACAATGCACTGGAACAGATGAGGAAAAGGACTGTTTAAAGGATTATATGATTAGGCATTATATGTAGGAGAACAGTCCAGAATAAGAGGTACATTGCAAAGAGGACTGAAGAAGGGGGAAGAGAGGGAGAGGGAGGAAACTGCAAAACCCAATGAATGAAAATCCAACTTTCCTGTAAATTTTCGTTATAATCATAATTTTAAAGAAATAAAAGAAACCTACTCCTTTATAACTCTGTGATTTAGGTGGAAGAGTAAGTTGCTTTTTCACTCAACAATTCACACTCTATTTTGCAACACTGATTATGGTCCCCACAATTTAACAGTACTCCTCCCATTTCTACCCTCATTTCCATTCCTCCTCCTCTCTCTTCCTTCTGCTTCTGAACTTTCTCCCTGGGCCAAGGTTGCCCTTTGGATCTTGTGTGGCGGCTTGTTCTGCATCTCCCTGGTGTTACTGTCCACCTTACAGTTTTATTTTGTGACTGAAAGTTGAGCTCCTTGTTGGGGGGAGTTGAGCTCCTGGTTGGGGGGAGGTAGAATATACATTTTTTAGAACATACATTTTTTGCATATTTTCCAGACACCTGAAATTCTGTTCTTTATCCTTTTCTAGATCCCATTTCTATATACTTTTTTCAAAATGACAGCTTCAACCATAAAGCCAAACAAGGTGCCTCTGACTCACAGCGCCCTCACGTGCTCCGTCGGGTTTTCAGGAGGCTGGGCTTTCCTTCTTGCCCTCATACGAGGGTGCTGACTGCCTGGCCATCATGGGAACCATTTGACACATGGACAAAGCTGCCCTGTCACATGGATGGGATTGTGGCGGAAGGGGGAAAGGGAAGCAAAAACAACACTGTAACCTGAGGCTGCCACCAATTACAGCTGCACGCACCTAGTTCACAGCAGCCCAAACCTCTGCTAAACAAGGGAAGGGTTGATTCTGGATCAACAGATTGAATTTGTGTTGCGTTTTATGGTGAGCCAGGTTGCTTCCAGTTTTGCTAGGCAGATATTTTCAGACTGTTAGAAACTGAGCAAGCAACTTTTTAGAATGTGCCACCAAGTCGATTCTGTGACAGAGTACAACCGCCCCAAGGGGTTTTCTAGGCTGGCATATTTAAGGGAGGAGCCTTGTGGTGCACTGATTAATGTGTTAACCAAAAGTTGAGCCGTCTGGACCCACCAGCCACTCCTTGGGAGACATAGGGCAGTCCACTCTGTAAAAGT